TCTGGTATCAAGAGTTTCAAATGCAAGATGAAAATAAAAGCATATATCCTCTCCATCGAGAAGATCCAGAAGTAAAATAAGCTCAAGTACTTATGTCAGTTAATCAGAAAGATGTTAGAATAGCAACAATACATCAACGTTTGGAATATTTTTCAAGCTGGTATCGTGCCAAGAAAGCCATAGCGTTATGCATCAAGTTGAAAAGAAAGCTACAGAACCGTTCTTTCAAGTCTTCCTTGCCGTTACCTCTATAACAGTCAAAGACCTTAACGAAGCGGAAGAGATGATTCTAAAGACGGTCCAAGAAGACGCGTTTCCTAAGGAAAAGGAAATCMTCAGACTCCGTAATACAAGCGAAGATAATTCATCCTCTACTACAAAACTACAGAATCGTTTTGTTGCCAGAAGAAGCTCCTTGTATCGCCTAGACCCATTTATTGATGAACAAGGAATCCTCAGAGTAGGGGACGCATCAGATGTTCAGACTTGTCATTCAACGTAAAGCATATCCAGTTTTTGTGCCGAGAAAGGGACATATCACAGAACTATTGGTCAAGTTTTACCATGAAAGAATCAAACATCAGGGTCGTGGAATGACTCTTAATGAATTGCGTGCTAATGGCTATTGGATTATTGGAGGAAGTTCTGCCGTCGGAAGATACATCGTCAACTGTGTTTCTTGTAGAAGACTTCAAGGTAAAACTGAAAAACAGAAGATGGGAAACTTACCAAATGACAGCGTTCAAGCTGCTCCCCCCTTTACCTTTTGTGCAGTTGACTACTTCGGTCCCTGGTATATCAAAAAAGGGCGCAAGGAGATAAAGCGATATGATGTCCTTTTTACCTGTATGTCCTGCCGCGCAATTCATCTTGAAACCGCCAATTCATTGGACACGTCATCATTTATCAACGCTCTACGACGATTTATTAGCAGAAGAGGCCCAATTCGTCAGCTAAGATCCGACAGAGGTTCCAATTTTGTTGGTGCTAAGAAAGAGCTTCAACAAGCAGTAGAAGGTTTAGTTTCTACTAGAAAGGAATTGTGATTGGTTCAAGTTTGAAATGAATGTGCCATCATCGAGTCATATGGGAGGTTTGCTGGGAAAGACAGATAAGGACAGTCCGCTSTGTGTTATCCGCCTTATTAGAAGAACATGGGAGGCAATTGGATGATGAAACGCGACGCTAAGAACTTTAATGTGTGAGACAGAATCTGTGGTAAATAGCCGACCTCTGACAGTGGATAATTTATGCTCACTAACATCACCTGAACCACTTACTCCTAACCATTTACTAACTAGCAAGACTCAAGTTGTTCTTCCTCCCCCCAGTGAGTTTCAACGAGCTGATCTCTATTCCAGACGACGATGGCGCCGGGTACAGTATTTGATAAATGAATTTTGGTTAAGATGGAAAAGGGAATTTGTTCTTTCTTTACAGCAACGACAGAAATGGATTCGACCACGTCGCAATTTGCAAATTAACGATATTGTCCTGATTAAGAATGAAGRTGTATCCAGAAATCAATGGCCAGTTGCAAAAGTCGAGGACTGTGTGCTAGACAAAGATGGTCACGTTCGAAAGGTCAAATTACTTGTTGGAGATGCTACTTTGGACAAAAAGGGTAGAAGAATCAAGATTCCCMCAGTGTTGGAAAGACCTATCCACAAAGTTGTTTTGCTCGTGCCTCAAGAACTTTTTTCTCAAGAATAACTATTGTTTGTTTCTCATTGATAACGTTTTGTGTGAACCTTTTAAGTTCAAGATTTAAGGTGTCTCAAGATTTACATGGTCTCAGAGAAATCATGGAGAGCCATATATGGTAAAAGGATTCACAAGTCTTTTTAAGATTGAAATGAACTGAAGATGTTGTATTATGGAAAGCCACCAATGAACAAATGAGCTCATGTGAACATTGAACAGCGTAATTAATGGACGATATTACTTAATAAATTTAAAGGTAATTATTATTATTATTATTAGTTAATAGGTAAATTTCTATATCTGAAATTTAGGAGAGCCATGTAAGYGCAACCGAAGTATTTTATTTTATGATTTCCGCTCCGTCTATTTTATTGTTCAGCGCACGTATTTTTTTGTTATCATTGGCTTTGTTCGTTTCATTTTTTCCTTTGTTTAGTTTTTCCCGGGCTCATGTTTTTTGTACTTATGAAAATTTTTCTCTGGTTATAAGTTAACTTTCCATTGCGAAGAAACTATTGCGAAGTAACTATTGCGAAGTAACGATTGCGAAGAAACAGTTGCAAGTTAGTATTGCGTTGGATTTTGCGATAAGCTGTATTATTTCTTAACTCTCTTAGAGCCGGGACAGTTGTTTCATGTTTAGGTTAATCAACTTAATCAGTATGGAAACGTCTCCGAGTTTGCTCTAAGCTGAAGTTACAATATGGTACCTTTATTTTACTCCTACCATAAAAGTAATTGTTTATATACCAACCGTTAAAGTCCATTTTTCTCGTACTCTGATTGGGCGAGAGGGCATCACATGAACGTGAAAAAGTTTCGACGTTTACCCGGCAACGGCTCTCAGCATGACGTTGTTACACTCTTACTTCTCATTAATAATTCATGATTAAACCAGCCAATCAATGGGCTATTTTTGGGTCACATGATGTTACTTGAAACCTGGTAAAGTGTTGTGAAAGGAATGCATTCAGTCTGGAGTAACTGGAACAAAATTAATTCAGTCCTAGGACTGAATTAATTTTGTTCCGGTTACTCCAAGTCGAATAATTAATGAGATGAGAAGTCATTTCAAAGCCTTCAATATCGGATTGGACGGGATTTCAAGTCCGCGCAATTAGTTCAATTAGTTAACCAATTGCGCGGACTTGAAATCCCATCCAGTCCTCATTGTCGGCTTTGAAATATTACTTATCACAGCAGAGCCATGCAGGCGTCAATCCAGGTGAAAGCCAAAAGTTAAATCGGAGTATGCTAGTAAATTACGACTCGAAATAAAATAAAAATATCAAAAAAGTCAACAGCARTTAGCGTGAAAATACACGTTTATTGATTGCTTTTGATAAGCGACTAATTACTCTAATCCTGAATATGGAAACAAAAAAGAATAACTTGATTAAACAAAGCAAGGTCTTCATTCTTTCTTTGCTTCTGTTTTAGGAATAACCACAACTGGACAGTGTGCATGATGGATGACGTAATCACTGACACTCCCTAAAATGGTGCGCCTGATTAGACCCATTCCTCGACTGCCAATCACCACCAAGGTAGCTTCCTCAATCTTGGCTTCCTCGCACACTTTAGCACCTACTGAGGTAGAAACACCAACGATCTTCACTTTGGCATCCAACTGAAACAAAGATTTGTTTATGGGAATATTAGTACGAGAAACAAAAATCKTTGTCCCCACCAATACACGCTAAAATACACGTTACAAATCAGAGAGAGCAAGCTGTACCTTCACTTATTCATATAAATAGACTGCTCTCACAGTCCCCATGATCTTCTACAGACAGTAACACGAGATGTATTGCCATTATCTAATTCTTGCCAATTTTTCCTTCAGCTCCTCATCCCTTTTCTCGTCCTCCTCATCAAATTTCTGATTTTAAGTTAACAGCAATGTGCACAAAATTGGTGACCCCCTCAAAACTTGCAGAAATTTCCCCTCCCCTGGACCATTTGCACCAGCCCTCCCTCCAACCCCATTTGCACCAGCCCTCCCTCCCCCAGGCCATTTGCACCAGCTCTCCCCCAGGCCATTTGCACCAGCCCTCCCTCCCCCAGGCCATTTGCACCAGCCCTGCCTCCCCTCTAATAAATGAAAGGTCCTTTTGGCCTCAAATGTCACTGCATTACTTATCTCACTGAATAATAACTAACCTTATAATCTTTGCACTTCTGTGCATACTTTTTCTTCAATTCCTCAACCTTTTGTTCRTGTTTCTCCACTTCATGTTTCCATTCTTCAGTTGCAAGGGCATCTGAGATACAGAGATTTAATAACTTTAACAATGATTTTTAATTTTATTTATTTATTTTTAAATCTTAATTATTTCAAAATTAACAAACTGAGGCTTGATCCACAGAAATGAATATCAATTTAAATCTGATCACAATTTTATAAAATTAATGTATAAGGTAAAACCATACAACAAAAAACAATAATTTATTCTGCACTATACTAAAGGTACATAAGTGTTTTCCCCCCCAAAATAATCATATTGGTGAAACCATGGGACTGGATCTCCTTATGTTTGATTATGATTATTATGCTTTGTGCCTGGCCTGATAAGCAAATATTATACAATTCAATGGGTCAATACTCTGAATACCTTTTCAGAATTATCTGGAATGCTAGATAATGATAACAGGAAGACACAAAGGAAATATCTCAAATTTCATAATGAAAGGAAAGAGTTATTATTATTTAATCATTTGGAATCATGAAAATTGGTTGGAATGTGAAAGCAAAAAGAATCAAAATTGTCTCAGTCAGCATCTGAAGAGGTAGAAGATTACTCTATTCAAGATACTTCTTRGACCCTTTTAGCACAGGAATTTACCCAATAGAGGCTTTGCACCATCATTTGATGGCTGAGCCATGACAGAAGGCACAACTACAATAGTTTTGTTCTACGGGGAAACTGAATTCTTTGTCATGTAAATCAGATTAAATCAGATTAAATTGTTCCTGCCTCCTGTCAGGCTGTTATCACATGATGGCCTTTATTAAGATCACATATCATTCCCTAGAGTATCATGCCKTTGTTTAACAGTTTCACAAGAAAACACACTTGAATACAACTTAAACAAAGAATCTTATAGTCGTTTGCAACTAAGCGTGAACACCAGACACTAAAACATGTTCTAACTGGCGGCCGAGACGTTGAAGTTTAGCCAACTGAAACGTGTATGTTTCATAATGATTCGTTGGACGGTTGGGTGTGCAAATTCCTTCAGGTACTTCAATCTTGAAAGAATCAAAATCGTTTTTCTCTCCACTACTTCATGCTTTTGTTTGAAGTAAAGCTTTTTTTYCCGAAAATGTGAAGGAGATCAGGATCTGGCGCCAGTTAGAACATGTTTTAGTGTCTGGTGTTCACGTTTAGTTGCAAACGACTGTATTTTCAARACAATGACGTGGTCTGAAATGAAAAAACATTTACTGCTCCCAAGTTAAAACTGGGCTATTACAGTGCGACTACTCCAACCAAAGCAAACTCGACAAATTTTCCACAAATTATCCAATAGYGTTTGAGTATTTAGACAATAGATTAGCGGCAAATTTTGAATTTAAATATTCTTCCGTTGTTCCGGTTGGTAAAACTAAATGATGAAGAAGAGCTTGTAATATATTTTCTTCGCAAATTAGTGATTTGTGTCACCAAACATATAGGAAAAATAGTAATGTACGACTTCAAATACGACAGGAAAGCAAATTAGAGACCATATAAAACACAGTCGTTATAATTACAGTTTGTTTCTTCCAGACAAAGATATTCTATGAGGCTGACACTGTTAGATCTTATCACTATGTTGCTATGCGACAGCACGTTTATATTCGACAACAAAGGTGCCGACAGTCTTCTAAGCTAGCCGTGTAAACCCATTGATATTTGTCCAATTTGTAGCAATTCTATTGTTCAGATTCCTACTTTTGATTGGCTAATTTGTGGAAAATTGTTCGAGGTCGCTTTGGTTGGAGTAGCCACACTGTAATAACAATTGAGTAAACTGATTTTGGTTGTTTGTCAATGTTTATTTTTTATTTTTAAGTCTTTAGACAAGTAAACAAAAAAAAAAGGACAAGTAAAAATGCACAGCCATATTCCTGTCTGATGAAAATACAATTACTTACGAGGTAATGCTGGTGGGTGGAGCTCRGCAACATGAAGTACGACTACATGATCACCTTCATGGTAAACATTATCCATGAACCCTGAAAAAAAAACCAATATCACTGGAGATTATTAATGCATACAAAGATATATATTTGTATCTGTTAAAAAGGGAAAAAATTGAATTTCAACAGTTATTTTGTAAAACTATATATATACAAGGACATTAATTTACTAGAATTTTTCAAAACACTCTTGATAAGTCCAGATTGAGGGATCAAGACAAATTTCATTTTCCATTCATTCTAAGAAAATACATGAAGATTTTTTTCCTGAACTTTGAAATGTCATGTTGACTGATTGAATTTTGTTACAATACATTTATTAGAGCTTATGATTACGCTTTTCAGTCATAACAGCATCCATGCAATTTTCTTTCACCATCTTCAAAATATTCCAATAAAGGTCAAATTCTATTTTTGATTTCAGAAACCTTCACATTCTATTGAACCTGAAACAATCTCTAGGAATATCAAAGTCAGGGCATTGCACAAAGCTACATAGATTAAATCCTGAAACAACCTCTTGGCTGATCTAAGTCAGGGCATGGCTAACTCACAGATTGAACCCTGAAACAACCGTTTGGGCTGATCTAAGTCAGGACATGGCTAACTCACAGATGGAACCCTGGAAACAACCTCTGGGCTGATCTAAGTCAGGGCATGGCTAACTCACAGATGGAACCCTGGAAACAACCTCTGGGCTGATCTAAGTCAGGGCATGGCTAACTCACAGATAGAACCCTGAAACAACCTCTGGGCTGATCTAAGTCAGGACATGGCTAACTCACAGATGTCCCCGAAACAACCTCTGGGCTGATTTGAGACACTGCATTGGCTAACTCACTGATAAAACCCTGAAACAACCTCTGGGCTGATCAAAGTCATGTCACACCTAACTCACATGAGAAATCAGAGGTTATTCAGGAAATCATGCCAAATTCCTTGTACCCTGTGGGACACTGAGTAATATCAAATACCTCAGTTTATTTCCCAGACCCCTGGAGCTTATATTATTACCATATACCACTACAACGGAATAAATTATGACCAAATATATAGGCTAAGGCACATCATTTATAATATATTACACTTCAGCTTTGGAAAAMCTACAATAATATAATGAAGTTTCAATAATTTGAAGCTGGAATTGAAAATTCCAGTAGTAAATATAAAATAGGAATGCAGAGCGTCCCTAACTTAAACAARAATAAGTTATTCACTGAGGTGTGAAATACGTTATTAGATATCAAACATATACAAGTTTGATATACTATAAATGTAGTAGAGTGCAAACAATATAACCGTGAAACTTTAGTAATACTAAATAGCACAATTTCATGGAAATTCCATTGTTTTCTATTGTTTAAATGAGCACTTTTTCGTATTATTTAGTAATTAGTGTTTCACGGATTAATTGTTTGCGCTCTACTRAAAATATCAAAATGATAAAACAGCTCTAATATAATTCCTAAAGCAGAAATATATAAATAATAAAGAAAACTAGAATTGAGGGTTAAAGCATTTTTAGATCTGTAGCCGTAAGATTTCAATTTGCTCGAATGCAGGGACTTWTATAATCCTTATATAAATAAGAAGTTTGGAACTAAATCACGCAATACTAGTAATAGTTTCTTATAAACCTAACGATCTAACAATAAAGGAAGGTTATAAAGTTGGTCGTTATGCGACCTGTTGACAAGAGCATCGGGCAGTACCAGAATTGAATATTGATGAAGCACAGCACGTTGAGAAAGCTGACTCTAAAGGACCATGCAACGTGGTAAAAGCACGAGTTGAAAATGAACAATCGAGAGAATAATATCAATAAATAAATATAAAAAATATTAATGCATAAACAAATTGATGTGATTGTTTTACACTGTGTACGATACTGTAGGACTTCTATATTCTCTAAGAATATCTCGATCAAACAAAAGGAAGTACAATTTTGTACACCTTTTTCAATAGCTTAGGATCTGTCTAGGCGTGAAAAATCACACGCTTTGAAAAATTGTTTTGATATTCCGTTCCACCTTCGATTCCAAATTCCACGAATTTTTAGCTTAGTTATTTTTCAAAAACTACACAAAATTAAAAGTAATGTCTTTGATTCTTTATTTCCCTAAATTGAAGTAGTGGACGGTTTAGGGAATGAGAAGTGTTCAAAATCGGCTCTTTACGGCGCTTTCCTCACCTTGTAGACGCATAAACGAAACTTCAACAAACGACACCCTCATATAAAATAAGATAAGTAATATTTACTTACAAGTGAATCCTTCCTCGGCATGGTGACTAGGATCAACTGGAATTAGAACATTTCTCTTGACTTTTTTAGCTTCTCCTTCAGCCATTTTGAAATGCTTGTTTGAGATGCGATCTTTCAGTTGTTAACCCTTGAAAGCGAATGCACGACTGATTTACATAAATGATAGACAACTCAGTCAACCAACACGTGGCCGCTCGATCGAACACAGAGTTCTACAGCTTTTGGTCAGCGCGCTGACGCTAGCAAGAATTTTGCGTTCCTTTTTGTGTCTGGAGATTAAGAGAGGCGCTGAAGGACTCTGTGGTGACTCTGTATACGAGATTGGTATCTTTGGGTGGAATATGACGACAGTCAGTCAGCAACTAGGCGCTCATTTTGAAGACTGCCATTACGTGGAATTTGGCACGTTCTTACAGAAAAACAAACACGCGCGTTCAAGACGGACAGACAACTTTTTGACTGCCATATGAAATTTGGCACGTTCTTACAGACAGACAACAAACGTTTTTGAGGGCTTTAACGAGCGCACATAGGAAGACGGACAAGACAACGTATTGACTGTCATGTGGCATAAGGCACGTTCTTACAGACAGACAAACAACTTTTTGAGGGCCGTAAGACACGCTTCAACGGAACGACAGACAACGTTTTTGACGGCCATGCTGCAAGCGAACAAAGAGCTCCAAATTTAACAAATATCATAATTCTCTACAACATTAGCAATTGTGTATGTTTCACAACTAGCAGTAATTATGCTATATAAGAAATATTTTCAAGGGAATGTCATGTGATATGAAATGGGCAATCTGCATAGATCAAAATGAAATATGTCCACTTAAACAGTACTACAGTATTTAATAAATTATTCGCCAAAGGCGAAGTGAATATCGGGGA